CTCTCTCTCTCTCTCTCTCTCTCAAAATAAATAAATATTTAAAATAAATAAATGATAAGGTCAGGAGTAGAGAACTTAAAGCATTCTGGAGTGATGTTGGCTCATGAACTTTTTCGTTTGATTTTAGTATTCCAGAATGAAGTCCTGGGAACACTACAGCGGGGCAAGGAGGAGAACATTTCTTGTGACAATCTAGTCCTAGAGATCAACTCTCTCAAGTAAGAGCAACCCTTCCCTCTGCTCCTGTCTGCTGGGTAATCCCAGGCAGGTAGAGGTTCTCTCCTGTTTCTTTCCCAGATAGGAACTGATTCCCTCAATGTCCCAAGTGAGCAAGGCTAGTAGAGAATTAGGATGATTCAAGGAGAATGTTAGGTTGTGGCCTCAGCATAGACTTCCCTCTTCCAAAGTCTTCCCCTTGCATGTTGTTCCATCTGACTTCTCCCCCAGTGTCCTGTCAAAGTCATGGTCCTACAAGCAAGCTGAAAGGGCCAGTGAAGGCCCTGGTGTCACCCCAGTCTTCCCACAGATACGCCTACAACATAAGTCTAAAGGAGGTGATGCAAGTATTGAGCCACGTGGTCCTGGAGTTCCCCTTCCAACAGATGGATTCCCTGCTGGACCCAAACCGTTACTGCGCCCTGCTGCTTCCCGTGAGTAAAGATGGGCTGGAGACAAGAGATTGGGTGGTGGCAGATCATCGTTCTTGCTGTGTTTCACTTTAAAGGAAATAGGGAGTAGAAGGTCTTACTGTGGGATATGTGTTACTTGTGGTTCCTTTCTCCTTGCCTCTGGGTATAGATTGGGTACAAGAGCAGCCCAAAGATATATCCAGAATAGTCCTAGACTTTTATACTCTCTGACTGAAATGATTTAGCACAGAATGAGATCAACCTTTAGGCCGGTAATAGGTATGTTGAGGCAGCCTGTAGCATCTGACCCCCTTTTACCTTCTCTGGGAAATCTTTTCTTTTTCACCAACCCTGACTGCCAGCAACTCCCAAGTCCCTGTGACATGATTCCTCAGGCCTGTATCATCTCCCGCTTGTTTTCCCATATCCTGATAGTCGTCTGTTATCGATATTGACTTTCTTTGCTATCTAGATGTAGGTGCATGCTCAGGAATATATTGCAGTTCCCTTCTCCTTTCTTCCATAGCTTCTCAAAGCCTGGAGTCCTGTTTTTAGGAACTACATAAAGCGTGCAGCTGATCATTTGGAAGCATTGGCAGCCATTGAGGACTTCTTCCTGGAGCATGAAGCTCTTAGTACTTCCCTGGCCAAGGTGAATACCTCAAGCCCCCTAGTCCTGCATTTGCTTTGAAACAGACCTTGGCTGCCTTCATGGAAACACAAAACAGGCTGACATGAATCCAGTATGGGGTTTGATTAATAGCACCATCTACCCCTATTATCATGCTGTTTGCTAGGATGTACAGCTTGGAGCCAGGCTAGTAAGGCAACCATTTGGTGATTATCCCAGGAACCAAACAAAAGTTCCAGGAGTTAAACCTATCCCAGTAGCAGAGTGAACAGCTCATTCTTGTCTATTTTTAAAGCAACTGCTTGGTGTTTAAAAGGAAGCTGATAGTTTGGTGGAAAGAGGTGCTAAGATCTCGCTTCCTCTTTCTCTGTTATCTATTATATCTTGCTGGATTCTTTGAGGTCCCTGAGATCTCCTCTGCTGGCCTTCTGCAGGTGCTGATGGCTTTCTACCAGCTAGAGATCCTGGCTGAGGAAACAATCCTGAGCTGGTTCAGCCAAAGGGATATGACTGATAAGGGGCAGCAATTGCGCAAGAACCAACAGGTGAGTCAGGCTGCCCTCCTGTGACCACAATGGTTGTCTGGTCCCTGGCTCTTGGTCATAGATTCCAGGGTGGTTGGTCCCTGGGACTCTGGCTGCTCAAGCTGTTTATCTGCTAAGGAGAACCGAAGGGTTATATTCCCCTTCCTCAATAGCTTTCCACTCTGCTTCCTTACAGCTGCAGAGGTTCATCCAGTGGCTAAAAGAGGCAGAAGAGGAATCATCTGAAGATGACTGAAGTCACACCGCCTGCTCCTACGGGTGTGTTGATAGCCCTCCCGGCTTCTGGACCAGAGCAAATGAGAGGCTAGTTGCAGAAGGATGAGTGATCACCATCCAAGCTGAGACTTAAAGGAGCAGAGGCTGGAACTACAGTATTCTTCCCACCGCCAGTAACCATGTGCCTCCCATCCTGACTGGGGAGTTGGGAAAAGGGAAGTTGGGCTGGAACAAAGCTCTGCCTAAAGAGGAGCAAGGCAAGCCCTGCAGTTAGAGGAAGCCCAGAGGAATAGTTTTGTGCTCTGGCTTTCCCTCAGGGAACAGCAGAGAGCAACTGGCCCTTTCTGCTGCTTGTATTTGTTAATATTAAAAAAAAAGAGAGAGAGAGAGGGGGATGTATTTGGTTTCTCTCCAACTCTGACTGATCAGCTCTTAAAATAGGTGACCAAAGAGTTCTGAACCTGGCAGCTTTTCCTTAACACCTGGGAGAGAGGGAGAGGAAGGGTGTTACTGCCACTAGGTGGTACTGTGGTGCCTTGCTAATTGACCATTGCCTTGGCTCAAGGGCAGTGAAAGGCCTAGATTCTTTTCCAGCCTCTGTGGACCAATTTGTGGTCCTGGAGTAGTATTCCTGAGCCTATTGCCATAGAGAGTCCTAATGCAAACACTTTCCTGCCAGAGGGTGATGATCCAAACATATGTAAAGTCCATTGACCAACTGCCATGCTTTGTGCAATAGATCCAGTACAATTATCAGGGAAACTGGGATATTCAGCATCTTAAAGATGAGGAAGTTTGCTTAAGGTCTCAAGACTCTTGAGGAGCAAAGCTAAGGGCTTGAATCTCATAATCTAGAATTCTTTATGTTTCAGCATATTCAGTGTCTCAGTGAAGGGAAATTGCCTCCAGAGGCAAATATAACCCCAAGCCAGCAATGAGTATCCTAAGAACAGAGAAAGATCCTATGAAATGGCTTACTGTATGGTAAGCATTTTGCTAAATACTTTTCATGTGTTTAAACTTCATAGTAGACAATAGGTCATATCCCCATTTTCAGATGAAGAACCTAAATTTCAGAGAGGTCCCGTAACTGGTCATTGATAAAGCTGGAGTTTGCCATTTTGCTCTTTTGTCCCCTTTAACTTCGACTATGAGACATGCTCTTCTGTCTCCTCTTTTTAAGCTCTTTTTTGCTGTCCTAAAACCTTTACCCTATTGACACTTAAACTGTGGCAAATGTTACTGGTAACCAGTGATCCTCCTGGACATCACAGAAAATGGTTGCCATTATTCATTTTAGTTGGGTAAAAAGGAGTAAGCTGCGGAAAAGAATACTGAATTGTATTCGAGGGTGTGAATGGGCAGTACCGAGTATTTCTAAAGAGTAAAAAAACAGGATTTGGCTTAATTTACTTTTCTTGTTCAGTAAATCTCAGTTTCTGCTTTTTCATATGTAGGAACTAGTGCCTAGAGAGCATATGAAGGTTATGGCATGGACTACTAGGAGCTGTTAAATACAAATAACTTTAGGGCATCTCTGATTTGTACCTAATGGGTAGCAGAGATTAGAGGTGGCCTATAGAACTTTTTAGAAGGAAGAGATTCCTTCCAGAAGAGTAATTAGGGAAGGATTAGAGGATTGTGACACTTGAGTGGCCTAAAAGTAGGAAAGGGTAGAAGGGGATATTAAAAACAAAGCAAAGGATTTCCATTTAAATGTGGTATACTAAACACATGGGGTTTTGTTTTGTTTTGTTTTTTGTTTTACTTTTTCAAAAACCCCATTCAAATGCCAGTAATGAAATTCTTCAAAAAAGGCACATGACTCAATAAGGAAAACCAGAGGTGATAGCAATGAATAAGAGACATTAACATTTTGGAAAATGAAAAATAAATCAAAGAGTGAAAGTTGATTTAACAGAGCAGAATGAGATGGGTTCTCTCTGCTGAGGTGGTTATTAACAAGAAGCAAACCCAATGTGCCCTTTTGAACCCAGAAGAGGTTCAGCAAAGGGGATAAGGATTGGGGCTGAGAATGGGGTGGGTGCAGGAGAATCAAAGATCTGTATAAGAAAAGGCCCCCCAGGTTTCTACCTCATCTGCTTTAGCCAGGTAATTACCCCAACTGTCCTGCAAGAAATGGGAGATTTAGTCTGAAGAAATGGAGAGGAAATTATAAAAGAAATATTTATGAAGTTTTCTTAAACCCAAAAGGCAGGACTTTTCAGACTAACAGCTCATGAGTGCCCAGTAGAATGAATGAAATAGCCCCATGAAATTTCAGAACTTTAAGGAAAAGATATTAGAGCCTCTGGACTCAAGAGCAGACATGGGGATGGGGGTGAGGGGCTAGATTGGAAATGAGGGATTAAGTGAAAGTGTTATGAGTGGTAGGGCTCTGAATATCAGCACACACCAGGCAAAAACAAGCTGAATAAGTGCAGGGGAAAAAAAGCCTTTCAATACTTCTACTTTTTGTTTTCTCAAAACCAAAAACCATCTTTACCCTATTTGATCATCGTACAGTGAATCCTGTTAGTTAAAAAGCCCTGTACCTCGACAGAGCTTCCAATCAACTTTTTAGTATTTCACTCTTAAATGTGAATAGACTGCCAATGGTTATCAAACATTTGAGGAAACTTTGAACATGAAAGGCAGAGACCAAAACAAAATTGAAACCAAGGAAACCATGACAAAGTAGGGAGTTATTTGAAAACCTTAGGGAGGGGGGAGAGCTATAATTATTCTCAAAAAATATTGTGTCTGAAGAAAGTACTATGAAAAGGGAGAACTAGGTAACAAAAATTTTTTTCAAACAAGTTTTTAGAAATTAAGTAAATTGTTTCCTACTGAGAATTGGAGGACTAGAGAACTGAATAGGATGGAGATGTCATCCATCCTTATGTAGTTGAATTTTGAGTTGTGACATTTTACCTATCCGATTGGATAGGGGAAAGGTTGGAAATAATGTTAAGAAAATCTTGCAAAAAGATGCAGTCATTCAAAAATAAAAGGGAATGGTTGATAAAGGAAGAATCTAGAAGGTCCAACATCTAACAAGTTGTAAAAAGTATGGGGAAAATAGTAGTGATGTTACTAAGTAAGGAAATATTGTTGAATTTCTCGATGGAAAGGACTCACTAAGTGCCTAGCACAGTGAATAAGCACCAAGATATATCGCCATGAAATTTCAGAACCTCAGGAATAAAGGGAACTTCTAAAAACTTACAGAAAGAGTAAAAACAAGTCATGTGCAAAGCCTTAGGGAAAAGTAGAGATCTAACTGCTTAATAGCAACACTGGAAGCTGGAAGACAATGTAGTGATACCTTCAAAATTCTGAAGGAAAATTACTTTCAACTCAGTCATGTTTTCAGATTTGCAAGTTCTCAAAAGGGGTTTTATTTCCCATACTCTCAAAGTAAGCCACCAAAGGGTGTGCTTTACCCAAAGCAAAGGAGTAAAAAGTATCCAGGAAATGGGGATCCAACACAGAGGAGAGGTAATTCAGAACATGACGCAGAGAAGTCCCAGGGTGAGAGCTGTGCATAGGCTGAGACAGCCAACAGTGCTGACCAGAGCAAGAGAGCGGAAGGTTCCTAGTGAGAAAATGGTTGGATAATCTAATATATTTGACTATGTAAACAATATGTATTGAGAAACTTAGATTATGTAGTAAGACTTAATGGTAGATATATAAAAAAGCAAATGAAAAAGGAAGGCTATGATTAATGCCAGCAGAAACAAAAAGTTGTGAAGGAAGCATTTACTCAGTGAAAATGTCAATACTAAAATCTATACTGATTTAACCAAAAAGGATAATTTTACTATTTTAAGAGGCTAGGGGGAAGGTGGAAGAAAAATCCATCAATGAAAATTGGAAGTAATATGCAATATCTAGAATGTATAGATCAAGAAATAGTATAAACTTTAAAAGTATACTGGGGTAGGGAGGAAAATGGGACAGAGAAATGCTGTTAAGAGCTTAACATGCACATATATTCAATTTAAAAAAAAGGGTATGAAGTGAAAATGCACAAGATATGTGCAGGTACTAGCAATTAGGTTGATTTGCTGAAGTAAAAAATATAGCCAGCATATTATGAAACAAAAAGCTGTAGAGGTTGGCAGTTTAGATTATGGAGAGTTTTGAATACAGTGCTAAGAATATTTGGAAGGCACTGGGGGAATGTCGAGAGGTTCCTGAGCAGAAGAGTTGTGTGGAAGAGGTACTTACTCTGAAAATGCTAATTAGACAAGGATACAAAATGGAGTGGGAGGAGCCCACACTTGTTACTGTGGCCTTAAAAGACCTATGTGGTCTAGTCCCAGCCTATGTTTCCAGCCTCATCTACCACTATCACTAAAGTCACAATGGCCTCCTTGTTCCTCAAATTGGGAGAGAGTTATTTGTGCCTTGAGTCTTTATATTTGGCCATGCCCTCTGCTTGGAATGCTTTCCCCCCACACCAGACCCTCTTCTAGCTGCTGCTGCTTCCATTCTGTCTTAGCTCAAAGGGAAGAGGCCTTCCCTAACCACCCATAATTCTCTTCTCCCTTTTACTATCACATTACTCCATTTTATCTTTTTCATAGCATTTGTCACTCTGAAGTTATTTATTACAAGCTTGTGTGCTTCTTTTCAGATCAGTGAAAGTCCTGAGAGTAGTCTTACCTGTCTTGTTTTGCTTTACCCCCTACAGTATGCCTTGCACCTAAATGGACACTTTATTGAATGAATTAAAAACTAAGGGGTGAGAAAATCTATTAGGGACCGATTACACCTAGTTCTGGTTTCTTACTGTCCCAGTCATGCACTCATTTTCATTATTGCACTCGTTCTGCATCAATCCATTTATTAAGCCACTGCTTTGCACCTAGGTATTGTATTGAAGTTATAAGAAGAAATCAGAACTCGATCCCATTCTGTCCTCAAGGAACTGTTTGACAGACTCAGTGACAGCAGCTATGCTTTTCAAAAGACCCTAAAGGGCCATGTGGAGGTCACTTTCCTCCATTGATACCTAGTCAGAATCACACACACACACACACACACACACACCCAACTCTGGGGACCAAAGTGACCCCTGTGTTACACCCGTCCCAGGCTGCTGAGGAACAGCCGATAGATCCCCCCTGGGTCCAGAGCCGGGGCCTTGGTGAGTCCGGGAACGTAGCCACCCTGGTGAGATCTACCCTTCCTTTCTGGGGGCCTAGGCGACCGCCGCCAATCTCCCCGCGGGCCTGGGACCTGAGCGCCTGAGGCGAAGCTTGCAGCTCGGCGGGTAGGCTGGGTGTCCGCAGGGCCATCTGCGGTGAGGCCAGCGCGGCTCGGCGGCGGACGGGGGCGGGGCTCGTGCTGGGGCGGGGCAGCGCCCGGGTCGGGGGAGGGGAGCGGGCCCA